TGCGGAGATCATTAAGGGCTTAAATTGTCAGAAATTTTGTCTGGTTCAAAAAAGTATACGACAAATAATTGCATTAAAATGGGTTCTTCAGGAGTAAAACTTACAAAAACTAAAAAATGGCAAGAAAAATGCCATATTTTTAAGTGCTATGTCGCTCGCACTGGTCTTTCAATGTCGAAAACTTGGATTTTTCACATCCATATTGAACCTAACAATTTAAAAGAAAAATTAGAGATGACATATCTGATGCACGGAATGCCCATTTTTTTTAATCTAATTTGACTGTACTATAAGCTCGACTATAAGGGGTTGATTCTGTCCCACCAAATCGGAATAGCTTGTAAAACAAATTGTTTGAAACGGAGTTAGTTTTACTTTTATTCGAGGTGCCTAGATACAAAAATTCGCTTAAAAATCTTAACAAAAAACAAGTTGGGCATGCGCAAAACAATTTTTTTTATTCGGCGTTAGTTTTAATTTAACTCGAGGTGCCTCATATTACATTTCAATTAAATATCTTAACAAATAAAGAACATTGGGATTGCGCAAACACAAAAGTTCGGTTGCGCATGGTCAATTTTTGTTTATTCATTTGCATAGTTACCTGGGGCTTAAGGGACATTTACTAACACATAAAATCGGGCATCCACATGTTCTTTGTAACAAGAATTATAAAAGAAGCCCTTTTTTAGAAGTTGGAGCAGTTTTTGGGCTATAATTTTTTGCCCCGTTAGTCTACGTAACTGAATAGCGACCTTTCTTATATTCTTAAGAACAGCTGTTTCAATATTTAAAGCGATCGAACTTTTCTATAAAAATTATTCAGTTATGAGTTATCGTGCACACGAACAGACGAACAGACAGACGGAGAGACAGATACAATACAAAATTATCAACAATCTCGAGGATCGTTAATAATGAGAAATACAACTGAAAATGAACTAAGTCGTATATCATTAGATAAAGAAAAAAAATCTTCTTTCGATTGGTGTCATATAAACCCGCTAAGACCTAAAGCATCATGGGAGAGCAACGATCTGCAAAAAACCTTTTTCCCATGTTAATTGCCTATGTTCGTTTTTGAAATATTTTTACTTTATGCCCGTGTATACAGGGTGACACTTTTAAAACTTTCAATGGGCGATATCGTTTTTTATATTAGAGGTAACACAAAATGGCCAAAACCGTTTCGGTAAAATCGAGGGGGAAGCAAAATGGTCGTATAAAGAAGGAACCAACTTCAACCTCGTACCCCCCGCCGCCCCCATGCCTAAATTTTGAATTGTGACGTATCACTTGGAAAGCTCTTAAAAAATGCTTTTCAGAAATACCATACACTGGTAGGTACATTTGAACTGCCCATTCACAATTTATTACACTAAAATTTGAACTCCGCAAATAAACAACTTTTATTTAATAAAATGTTCACCGTTTTGTTCTAAACAATACCACAAACGGTTTTCAAATTCATTTCTAACATTTTTAAACACTTCCCTGGAAAGTGAACGACACTCCCTGACTATCCGGTAGCGAAGATCATTTATGGAAGCTGGTTCAGTTTTGTACACAACCGATTTTAAATGACCCAAAGAAAGAAATCCAATGGTGTCAGATCTGGAGATCGTGCTGGCCATTCTATAGGACCTCTTCGTCCTATCCACTGTGCCGGAAATTTCTCATCTAAAAATTCACGAACAGCCATAGAGTAATGAGGAGGAGCCCCATCTTGTTGAAAATGTATGAAATCTTCAATCAAATTCATGTTTCCGTCAATTGGATTTAGTTGATTCTCTATTTCATGAGTGATGAGAGGCTCGACGGTATTTTGTAGCATGTTTAGGTAAGTATCTCCAGTTAAATTTCCTTCGATAAACAGAGGACCAATAATGCTATCACCTAAGATACCTGCCCAGACGTTAATTTTTTGGAGCCGTTGAGTATGCCCCTCGCGAAAAAGATGAGGATTTTTATCGTCCCAATACCGGCAGTTATGTATGTTCACATTTCCATTTAAAAGGAATGTATATTCATCACTAAAACAAATGTTTTTCACCAGTTCCGAATTCTTTTGAATTTCTCGGTCGTTATTTCACAAAATTGGATTCTTCGATCGGAGTCCTCTTCGGTTAGTTCCTGTACAATCTGCATCTTATAAGGGTAGAATTTGTGCACCTTAAGAGTTCGTCGTACAGTTTCTCGCGAAAGTCCGGTCATAGTCGCTGCTTTTCGAATAGATGATGTTGGGTTTGCATCAAAATGACCTAAAACTTCAATCTGAGTAGCTTCATCCATTATTCTTGGTCCGTCTCTTTTCTTATTTTCCACTGACCCAGTTTCTTCAAATTTAGTCACTAACATTGCAACATGACTGACACGTCGTTCTGGGTGTCGGGCATTAAAAACAGCTGCTGTTCTAAATGCAGATCGCGCTTCGGAACCATAGATGAAAATAATTTCAACTCTTTCGGCTAACGTGTACACCATTATGAAATCTTTAGTTAAATTCAAAATTTGTAATTTTCTTGCCAAGAAATACTAAAAACGAGACTAAAATAATAATAACCGATCAACAAATAAAGCAATAGAAAATTATTATTTACTAAAAATTGCTGTAATTGTTTTTCCAAAGCATCACTTCACTAGATCTAAGAAATTTTTTTTATTTCAAACACTGACAAATTCATCAAATACTCAAATTACTCATTTTTATTACATAAATTGTGAATAGGCAGTTTAAATGCACCAGTGTATTTCTGAAAAGCATTTTTTAAGAGCTTTCCAATGATGTATCACAAGTGATACGTCACAATTCAAAATTTAGGCATGGGGTGGCGGGGGGTACGAGGTTGAAGTTGGTTCCTTCTTTATACGACCATTTTGCTTCCCCCTCGATTCTACCGAAACGGTTTTGGCCATTTTATGATACCTCTAATATAAAAAACGATATCGCCCATTGAAAGTTTTAAAAGTGTCACCCTGTATAATAATTTTGAGGTACTTTTAGCAGAGTAGTGCAGCAGCTGCGCTCAGAAAATCGTATCTTCCAGCGTGTCTACCGAGACCTTAGCAACATCACGCGATCGGTAGACCAATTTTTTTTGGTTTCTTATGACATTAACTTTTTCCAACAAAAATTTCATCTTTGTAGAAATAAGTTCAATTGCATAATTTTTTATGCATCTTGCGTGGGTGGTAGACCTGTGATAGCAACGCTTCCAGCTCGGTAGACTATTACCATACTTCATTTTTAGGTATACTTAATTACTGTAGAAACTTTCATTCTTGTAGAAATGAGGCATGTACATATTATTTATTAACATGTTCAGAACATTGTTGCAAACTTAGGCAACACCGCCGACGCGGTAGACTACCGTTTTGTTTACTTGTACTATCAAAACAATAAAATGGCACAAAAAATGTCGCTGCCTCCTGGACTACTAGTATCGTTTGAATAAAATGAAAGAGTAATATGTGTAGCAAGTAGGTAATCGGGACTGATGACCACTTGAATACAATTCTCGTGTTAGACAAAAAGTCATTTTGCTTTCAATTCTGAGATTACCTTAATCATTGAATTCTTTACTCAATGCCTTAATCAAACATTACCACTTCCCATTTGATAAGAAATGGCTTCAGAAAGATATGGACCCTTATCTGAAAATGATTCTGCAAGAGATAATTAAATAAACGGAATGGTTGAAGGACTTTCTAGATATCATGTAGGTATATAAATATTTTAAATATACAGAGTTCATCGCTAGCCAATTGATATTACATCGTGGGAATAAACTGGTGGATTAAAAGATACTCGCACTCGAACATATTGTAAAGTCCGCACGCGAAAATGACATAATTCTAATTTAAGAAGGCTAAAAATATCCACTGTTCATCCACTCTTATATCGATTTCTTTCTATATGAAGAATTGAAAGGTTTCCTTTCAGAATTTCTGAAGAGAATTAAAAGACTGTGATTACGATAACAAAATAATTTAATTTCCGCATTGTGGTTGAAATATTTACACATCTGCTGGTTTAACCAAGGTCTTGAGATAGGAGAGGTATATTCTAGAAAGTGTTTATATGAATTTTGAAGGATCGAAAGGATTGTAAAGGAACTTGGAACAGTACAGGTCAGAAGACTGAACCCTGAGGTTTACCACGTTTGGCACTTTCTTTGATCTGCGTCAAAAAACTACAAATCCGACTACTCCCTGAAAAGGAATCCAGTAAATAGTTAGATGGACACCTTGTTTCTCCTAATTGGGTCATGCATTTTATAATACTGAGTCATATGCCCACTTAAAAGCGTGTGGGTTACGCGCAGACAAAGAGATACGGATCCTGACAAATAGGCAAAGCAACTTTCCGCGTTTCTGAAGGATGTAAAAAATTTTTTGCGGGAAAGATGTGTGGGAGGAAACTTGAACTTGCCCGATTTCCAATTTTTGGCAGCGACTAACGTCTACCACGCGTGCATTTCCTACTAGACCTTTAAAAATAGTTGTCGTCTAGCTTCCCGCAGGCGCCTAATTTAAAAACCGCGTGTAAAACTAAAGAAAGCACTTTAAAATCAAGGTTTTCACGTCCTTATTTGGTTATAAAGGCCAATGACTTATCAAGGTAAATCGCAGGGAATCCACCCGATTTTCCGCACGATCTACAATTTGCACGTACCTGTGTAAATTTTTCAGAGCCGAGCTTCCCGTATTTTCGAAAAATCTAGCCCCTTCGTCACATAAACACAGCGGAATCGAGACACAACACTAAACTGTGCAATTGTGTACATGACGTACAGCTGACATTAACAGCACAAAAACCCGTAGGTAAGTCGTCCTTTAATTTGAAATACTCGCGTGGTTTCCAATTTTTAAACGAGGGCTACGTTTTCAGCCCAACTGGCGAAAGTAACTCGACGAAAACTCGAAATATACAGACGATCGTTACATTTCTAGAGTGGATTTGAGGTTATGCTCCCACAACTAAAAACATAACAGTGAAAATCGATAAGTCCCCAAAGCGCGGGAAATTCGAACGGAAAATGTTCAATTTCAACATCGGCGTCCTGGGGCACGTGGATTCGGGAAAGACGTCGCTCTCGAAGGCCCTCAGCGAAATTGCGAGCACCGCCGCATTTGATAAAAATCCGCAATCCCAGGAAAGGGGAATTACTTTGGATTTGGGCTTCAGTTCGTTCACAATCGAAGCTCCTGGACACATCCAAAGTGTTCGGCCTGATGTGGAGAGAATCCAATGCACGTTGGTCGACTGCCCTGGTCATGCCAGTTTAATTCGCACAATTATCGGTGGTGCCCAAATAATTGATCTGATTTTGCTGGTGGTGGATGTTACTAAAGGTATTCAAACTCAGACCGCCGAGTGTTTGGTAATTGGGGAGATCACTTGCAAGCACCTGATTGTCGTGTTAAGTAAAATCGATTTGTTGGAAGAAAGCAAAAGGGCGGCAAATATTGAAAAGGTAAGCGGCAGTTGAATTTTATGTTATCAGTGGAGCAATCTCACCCTGTAGCATAGACAACACACATTACACGTGCTGCGACGTAGTTAACGTGCAAGGCGTTTTTGTGTCCATCTACTTCATTATTCACTGCCGGAGTAAAAAGTCTTTGAAGGGTTATTTATACTTTTAATATTATTAAGTGGTTTTGAGCAGATTAAAATTGCATTGTGATTTTACATCTCTTTTTTTGATTTTCAAGATGTTGCAATTCAAGGATACATCTATTACATATTTTAACATCATTTTAAATTTTTTTAGAAAATGATACAGGATTATGTATCCAATTAAAATAATAAATAAAAGGAAATCTTAAATGCCCCCAGCATCCATGAGGATAATGAATTGTTGTAATGAATCAATCTTTATTAGACGCCAGCTTGGCAACACTTTTACAATTTAACTTATAACAAAATAAAACTTCCCTTCTTTTCTTTAAAATCCAGATCGTCCACTTCTCACCTCCTTCCCGTGATCCAGCATCCCACTATGTCTATGGGCATGCAGAAAGGGTGTACTCGAGGTTTGAACCCTCAACTGGTATATTGATTTTGCACTGGCCAATAATACTGTACGGTGCACAGGGCAACCCACAGGAACCAGCTAGCTAACGTACAGATACTCGACCAACTTTGGCCATGGAGGCACTTCTTACACTCCGCCATTGACTTCGCTGTGGAGGCAGAAACTCCGAAGGCTTCCATACTGAGACAACATTGGGCACTGGCAGATCTGGAGGAAACCCTCAGATTCGATCCTCTCCTCGCAAGAAGTGACGTAATTCGAGCTCGAAGAGTTATAAGGTCACTCTCCCGGGGAGAGAGCAGTGACTTGACTCAGATTGCCCGTTCCTCAAAGAGGAGGGGCTCGTGAGCTTTACAGACGAGAGGAAAAATCTATTTAGGTTATTTAAGACCCTTAAAATCCGCATCTAACAGAATAACTTTCCATGTTTTTGATTAACCCCTTAACGAAATATTGTCAAAAATTTCCCCTTTCTTATCGCCCCGTATTTACAGGTAAAGGTTGACCGTTAAATTAACTTATCATACTGAAATTTAATGTTTTCTTTCTATTATTGGTATCGAACTTATACAAACTCGCGTATAGATAGGGCGCTAGATAGACTTGAGTGTGCAAAATATGAGGACCGCATTCTGTAAATAGTTTTGAACTCTGAAAAGCTTGCAGAATATTATTCGGGATATTGCCAGCAGCTTTGTAGGCCCAATTATTTTTTATACCCCACCTCTTTAGATATCAAGTAAATAGACTGAACAAATTATGCTTTGGAACTATTTTAATGACAATATCCAGTTGCTTCTTATGTTTAAAGATTAACATAGCTAGTCAATTGTTACAACAATATAAAATAATTGAAATAAAAACAAGAACTGTTGACAAAAAAAATTATTTAATACGAAAAAGCAAATGTTAACATAAGTTATCAAAAAAGCAAAAGAGCTTTCTGTATAAAATTCAACGATGCAGCTTGTAAACTATTTCGAACCCAATCTGCTAGTTGAATCACAGAGTGTAATGCTGGCAAAATACGACAAATGTTTTCGCCAAGGGATTGAGCAGCCAAATGACATCCTGAAATGTATTTTCTCTTATATATGTCATAAGATCATTCAAACCATACACCTAAACAACCTAGACGAGCTAGCTTCTTCCAGAAATAGATTTCTAGGATGAAACCATCTGTATCAGGTCAAGGATTATGATGTGAGCAGATTGGGTTTTTACTGCGTGAAATATGTTATAAAACATCCCTGAATCGGCTTCTAAATGGTTCGAATTGAAGTCAGGTACTTCAAATTATGAAAAGCCTTGAAACATTTCGTTGGATCATCACATCCTCCAGAGATATATAGATCGCGATCTTCTTGTACTTGTGTATATCTAGGAGTGGCAGTACAGAGCGTTCCCATTTTGAAAATTTCCTGTAACATCCTTCTGCGTCCAAATTTTATATTTAAAGTTATATTATCATTTTTGCTGCTGCTATAATTAGTCTTTCTTGTAATTACTTGTGAGTTTGCGTTATATTTATATGTTATATTTATATATTATTTTTATTGACATGTAAATAATTGTTATTGCAATTTCTTTTGCAAATATATGATGTGCTTGATTTCACAAGGACAATGTCGGCCCTCTTTTTTCACATTTTCTCATATCGATATATTTGCATTTTTTGGAAGATTATTCATTTTTCTCGTGTATCTATTTAATTTATGAATTCTTTATTCATCATTTCTGTTTTAATTTCATTTTCCAACCTTTAATTATGGTTAATCATTAAAAAAAATAATTGTCACAAAATTATCATCAGGATAGAAATATAAATGCACTCAGGCAGCTTACTCTCGGCGCAAGAGGAGGGGGTATAATACAAAATTGGACCAAGAGGTGTTCCGGCAACATCCGAATTATTAATCTACAAGCTTTTCTGAACTGGGATCAATTGGCAGAATGCGGTCCTCGGTTTTTGCACACTCAAATCCATCCAGCGCCTGCACTAGTATCGAAAAGATTAAATGTGTATTTATACAGATAAATATTAAGTTAAACCACGGTAACCTAATAAATAAACTTAGCTGACCAATTTATTATGTGATGTAATACTCCGGTATTTACCTTACGATTTAGGAAAACTGAAGGAAAACCTAATTCGGCAGAATGCTCGAAACTGATCCAAGGAAATTCCCATCTCTGTCACAGGTTCGAACACCCGACCTCCAACTTTATAGCCCAACGCTCTATTGAACCACCAAGTCTTTATTGAGTGGAACGGGCTCTGAACCTCGTTGCGAAAGAAAGGGGGTAGGCACAATGGGCCTTTGATGTGCCCCTTATGAATACGAGATTGGTTATTTGCAAATGTTTGTACTTTCGTTCCTTATTAAAGTTTATTTCTTCTATTTCAGATGACAAAGAAGCTGAAGGTAGTACTGAAAACGACAACTTTTGCGAATTCTCCAATTGTAGCAACTTCCTGTTCAAAGCACTCCGATTCTTTCGGAATTGCAGACCTGTTAAATAAAATATCAGAAACCATTTTTAACCCAGTGCGCAGCGTAAATGACCCATTTCTCTTTGCGATCGACCATTGCTTCGCAATTAAAGGAAAGGGTACGGTTTTGACGGGAACGGTACTACAAGGATCAATCAAAGTCGATGATGTAAGTTCTCATCAATTTTCATTGTGGATTGTGGGAAAAATACGCAAATCTAGTTGATATTCAGGATAGGTTCATCAATAATTCAATTGGTGTCTCTAATGGTTTTGTATTTTGCAGGTGATTGAACTACCAGGGTTAAGCGCAAGCAAAAAGGTGAAATCCATGCAAATGTTCAAACAGTCCGTTACTGCGGCGACTGCCGGAGATCGCTTGGGTATTTGCGTTACCCAGTTCGATCCCAAATTGATAGAACGTGGAATTGCGTGTGCGCCTGGCGTAGCAAATTTTGCATATTGCGCCGTTATTTCGGTTAACAAAATTAGATATTTTAAAGGAGAAGTTAGCAGTAAAGCCAAATTTCACATCACGATTGGATACGAAACGGTTTTGGCCACTATCACTTCATTTAGTTCCAGGGGAAACTTCAGCTTCGAAGATCAATTTCAGTACAACGAAGTGTTGGGTGGGGAAGAGGACGGTGTGCAACAACAGTATTTGCTGTTGCAATTCGAAAGACCCGTGCTGGTTGTTGATGGCTGCAAAGTTATCGGTTCAAAATTGGACATGGATGCTCACGGATCTAACTGTCGAATCGCGTTTTGGGGCGTACTTCTGTCTTATTCTCATCACAAGGATTATAAAGAAAATTACTTGAGCAACTTGAAAATTTACAAACAGAAAACGAAAACGGGAACCGTTGAACGACTTGTAAACATTAACACTGTCATTGTAAAAAATTTATTTAAAAAGGAGACCGATTTGTCATATTTTGTTAATTTAAGGGTGACGCTGTCTACAGGTGAAGTAGGGGTAATAGAGAGTTCATTTGGACAAAGTGGTAAGGTAAAAGTTCATATTCCCGATGGGTTAAAAGACGACAGCCAAACTCTGTTGAAGCGCAATTCTAGTAGTACATCTGAAAAGACGGTAATTACGGTTACATTGATGTTCAGAAAATTTATTTTTAATGCTAAATGTAAGAATTTACAATAAAATGATTTTTTAAAAGAAATAAATGTTTTGTGTTCATTTTTAATGATGTAGATCTGTGCAATCAGTAAGAGATTCCATTCGAGTGTTGAAATCTGCATTGTTTTCGTGATACAAGTAAATTCATATAAAAAATTTAATGGATAACTAAAATAATTATACTACAAGAGGACTATTGAAGAGGAAAATGGACGACAAGATATTCAGGTAGATATTTGCGCTGCCATCTCCCATGTCCAAGTATTTAAATAAATATTAGGAACTTAGGCCGTGCTTATTTCTTTTAAGGCTAAGATATTTGAGAAAATTAATGAATAAAAAGAATGTTTCTAATCATTATCATCGAATAACGATTTCACTCAACGCCTTTATTTAATGCTTTGGAGTAAAAGCCAATGTCAAAAAACGTTGAGTGGTGTACATTTTGTTTAAATAAATGAAGAACAACATTTTTCGTTTGAAGTTACATCTACTTTTAAAATTTTTTCGGAATTCGTACTTTTTCGATCAGACTTCTCAATCAAAAGTTATAGACCAATTTCGAAAGAAAATTCAAAGGGCTGTAACTTTTGAACTAGTAGCCCAATCTTGGAACTGTTTGAAATTATGGATTCTGCAGGCCACGTTCTATAAGAAAATTTTTTTCCCGGGACGATCTGAGACAATTTTTTTTTCGGGGCAAAAAAAGGCAGTGTATAAACCTTCCTTTTTTACCAAAAATCGACTACACCAAAATTTCTCGGGAAAACCCTTTTTCTTATTAATTTTGGTGCGTAGAATCCAAATCAATTCGTACTTTTTCGATCAGACTTCTCAATCAAAAGTTATAGACTAGAAACCAATTTCGAAAAAAAATTCAAAGGGCTGTAACTTTTGAACTAGTAGCCCAATCTTGGAACTGTTTGAAATTATGGATTCTACAGGCCACGTTCTATAAGAAAATTTTTTTCCGGGTCGATCTGAGACAATTTTTTTTTCGGGGCAAAAAAAGGCAGTGCCTTCCTTTTTTACCAAAAATCGACTACACCAAAATTTCTCGGGAAAACACTTTTTCTTATTAATTTGGGTGCGTAGAATCCAAATCAATTCGTACTTTTTCGATCAGTCTTCTCAATCAAAAGTTATAGACTAGAAACCAATTTCGAAAGAAAATTCAAAGGGCTGTAACTTTTGAACTAGTAGCCCAATCTTGGAACTGTTTGAAATTATGGATTCTGCAGGCCACGTTCTATAAGAAAATTTTTTTCCCGGGACGATCTGAGACAATTTTTTTTTCGGGGCAAAAAAAGGCAGTGTATAAACCTTCCTTTTTTACCAAAAATCGACTACACAAAAATTTCTCGGGAAAACACTTTTTCTTATTAATTTGGGTGCGTAGAATCCAAATCAATTCGTACTTTTTCGATCAGACTTTTCAATCAAAAGTTATAGACTAGAAACCAATTTCGAAAGAAAATTCAAAGGGCTGTAACTTTTGAACTAGTAGCCCAATCTTGGGACTGTTTGAAATTATGGATTCTACAGGCCACATTCTATAAGAACATTTTTTTCCGGGTCGATCTGAGACAATTTTTTTTTCGGGGCTCAAAAAAGGCAGTGTATAACCTTCCTTTTTTACCAAAAATCGACTGCACCAAAATTTCTCGGGAAAACACTTTTTCTTATTAATTTTGGTGCGTTGAATCCAAAACAATTCGTACTTTTTCGATCGGACTTCTCAATCAAAAGTTATGGACTAGAAACCAATTTCGAAAGAAAATTCAAAAGGCTGTAACTTTTGAACTAGTAGCCCAATCTTAGAACTGTTTGAAATTATGGATTCTACAGGCGACGTTCTATAAGAAAAATTTTTTCCAGGTCGATCTGAGACAATTTTTTTTTCGGGGCAAAAAAAAGGCAGTGTATAACCTTCCTTTTTTCCAAAAATCGACTGCACCAAAATTTCTCGGGAAAACACTTTTTGTTATTAATTTTGGTGCGTAGAATCCAAAACAATTCGTACTTTTTCGATCAGACTTCTCAATCAAAAATTCTAGACTAGAAACCAATTTCGAAAAAAAATTCAAAGGGCTGTAACTTTTGAACTAGTAGCCCAATCTTGGAACTGTTTGAAATTGTGGATTCTACAGGCCCCATTCTATAAAATAATTTTTTTTCCGGGCCGATCTGAGACAATTTTTTTTTCGGGCCTCAAAAAAAGGCAGTGTACAACCTTTCTTTTTTACCAAAAATCGACTACACCAAAATTTCTCAGGAAAACACGTTTTCTTATTAATTTTGGGGCGTGGAATCCAAACAATTCATACTTTTTGGATTAGACCTCGCAATCAAAAGTTATAGACTAGAAAACCAATTTCGAAAGAAAATTCAAAGGGCTGTAACTTTTGAACTAGTAGCCCAATCTTGGAACTGTTTGAAATTATGGATTCTACAGGCCACATTCTATAAGAAAATTTTTTTTCCGGGTCGATCTGAGACAATTTTTTTTTTCGGGGCTCAAAAAAAGGCAGTGTATAACCTTCCTTTTTTACCAAAAATCGACTGCACCAAAATTTCTCGGGAAAACACTTTTTCTTATTAATTTTGGTGCGTAGAATCCAAAACAATTCGTACTTTTTCGATCAGACTTCTCAATCAAAAGTTATAGACTAGAAACCAATTTCGAAAAAAAATTCAAAGGGCTGTAACTTTTGAACTAGTAGCCCAATCTTGGAACTGTTTGAAATTATGGATTCTACAGGCCACATTCTATAAGAAAATTTTTTTCCGGGACGATCTGAGACAATTTTTTTTTCGGGGCTCAAAAAAAGGCAGTGTATAACCTTCCTTTTTTACCAAAAATCGACTACACCAAAATTTCTCGGGAAAACACTTTTTCTTATTAATTTTGGTGCGTAGAATCCAAAACAATTCGTACTTTTTCGATCAGACTTCTCAATCAAAAGTTATAGACTAGAAACCAATTTCGAAAGAAAATTCAAAGGGCTGTAACTTTTGAACTAGTAGCCCAATCTTGGAACTGTTTGAAATTATGGATTCTACAGGCCACGTTCTATAAGAAAATTTTTTTTCCGGGACGATCTGAGACAATTTTTTTTTCGGGGCAAAAAAAACGCAGTGTATAACCTTCCTTTTTTCCAAAAATCGACTGCACCAAAATTTCTCTGGAAAACCCTTTTTCTTATTAATTTTGGTGCGTAGAATCCAAAACAATTCGTACTTTTTCGATCAGACTTCTCAATCAAAAGTTATAGACCAATTTCGAAAGAAAATTCAAAGGGCTGTAATTTTTGAACTAGTTGCCCAATCTTGGAACTGTTTGAAATTATTCACTTATCACTCTAACCTAACCTCACTGATACGTTACGCACATTATATTCTCCTGATCCAAGATTTCTCACCTAACCTAACTATAACTCTAACCTAACCTCACTCATACTTTATCATAACTTTCGATCTCCTCGCACATTATATTCTCCTGATACAAGATTTCTCACCTAACCTAACTAGCACGCTTACCTAACCTCACTAATACCGTAGCCTAACCATCAATCATCTCCTCGTATTCTCCTGATACAAGATTTTTCACCTAAAGTTTTCATACATTATTATACTGGGGTGTCCATACTTCAGACCCCCCGGTGATAAGTTCTGCCTCAAAACGTTCAGCCCTAATTACTCTTTCCAGTAATTATGACGTTAGGGATGAACAATACTAAACCGGGAGTCTACTTGTTTTAGATATTTTTAGGTAGAATCCAGTGGCGAAGTCAAAAAGGAATTTTGGACCACCGTTTCTAAGATTTGACCCAAAGTTGGTATTTTTTAAATGCAATGTCGTGTATATCTTATCGTCAATATTTTTGCATTGTTTTAGCCATAAAAATTAATAAAAACCTTATTTTTTTACTGTTTTTAAATAGTAAAGTAGTATTAACTCATGCACAACCTGTTGGTTTTAATGAGTGTTATGTTTGTTATTTGTTATGCTCATAATAATAATTTCGTAAAAAATTTCGTAAACAGGAGGCCATAGATTCATTCAGTTTTCGTTAGGTTTATTGTATCCATGGCAACTAAGGCAGTAGATACCAATAAAAAAATTTGCTGTGGCTAGCCAGATACCACCCGCGTTGCTTTTTGGGCGAAAATAAAAAAACCTTTCAAAGTTTTCGGAATTTTCCGGGTTTCTTTGGGCAAATGTCATTGCAGGGCTCAAATTTCAGGGTACTTGAGCATCGTTGATGGCTGGTGACCCATTTTTTGGGCAGTGTGGCCGAAAATTAATTTCTGCATATGCAAGGTGTCCCCTGGAAAATTGAATTTATTGATACGAAGAAAAATGTCACTTCGACGTGTAAATATTAAATCTGGTAGGCGCTTGTCGTTTCTTATGGTTTTACTGTGGATGACATTCTAGGGACAAATATAATATCACAGATGAAGGACTCTTTACAGAAGCGTATAGTATACTCTAAGAAAGTTGATCATCATTCGTCGAGGGTATTGTAGGGCCTATTTCGAGAGTATTTAAACAAATATTTATAATTTATACTAAAATTTTTCAAGGAGTACCTATAAGATTTAATAGTTATCAACGGATTCTGACAGCTACTTATTTTGTGTATTTAAAGCACCCCATTGAGCAATGGCAATGCATATCCGTATAAAGGGTTTAAAATAAATTATATTCAATGAGTATCTAGACTTAGCATTTCGAGATCCTATGTCTACGTTTCAATGAAATTACTTACTTGAATAATATATTGTAGTTAGTGTTAGGTACCTGTAACTTGTTGCAGAAACTACAATCTCGACCTGCTTATTTGCGCCTTATTGGTTTTAACGAACTAGTTAGAACACAATTTGTTTGGTATCCTACTTTCTAAAAAGTGTTATATAAGCAAAATCCATAATACACTCGCACTACGAGTATACATGCTGCAATAATGTGTGAATTCTTTAAAAATACATTTTCAATTATGCGGGTTAGTGTGAACACTCAACAATTACAATAGTCATTGCATATACACACAGTATTAAAGGGAAGTCCCCTTATTTTGCATCAATCCAATTGAAATTTTCTTGAGGCTCGCACATGGACGTTGAAAGCTTTTTTCGAGAGGACTTTTAGTCATTTGTCGAGTGCTTTAGCGTTTGATGATCTGATATTTCGTATCTTGCTACTTTTTGTTTTGTCTGCATATGTAATTTCACAATTTCAAGACTGTCGATACGATTACAATATACTACCTTTGTTTGGCTTTATTTCATTTACTCAACTGAATCTTTATTAAATATGAATTTCACTTTCTAATAAGGTTATATAATCGTATTACTTGCTTACAAAATACCTACACATATGCCGATATGTTGAAATGCCATAAACCACCAGAATTCTGTCAATGGTAACCATCAATTATTAGTTGCACTAAAATTATTTAGTACCTACACTCTGCATATTAAATGATTTGCAAAAAAAGTTGCTAGTCGACCACTTAAAAAATCATTTATATTCACAATCAATTTTACGTGCTACTTAGATTATTGTCAATGTTAAATGTCCTCTGGCGAAATAAACCTTCAAGCATTACAAAGAATGAGTTAAATAGAAAATAACAATAACCTATTATTATATCCTACAATTAGAATAAAAAGTTTTCAGTTTGTGACAATCGCCATGTTTTACATTTTATATGTACCGGAAGTTGCATGGGAAATTACACTAATATGTATTTCGCGTACATTAATTTTAGAAATGTAATCAATTTCACAAGAAACGTGATGATGCGTCCTTTAGCGTAACGTGTATAATCACATTTTCAGTGAAAAGAACAAAGCTTCTTTATTACCTAATTATTACCAAATAAACTACTATACAACCACATACCTGATGATGTAGTGCCATTACACCTTGACTCACTGCTATGGTAACAGTGACCTGAAGATTATTTATTTACTACTTTAACATAGTTGACACCTGCATTGAATTTCTTGACGCTGGTTTTTAAATTTATTTCGATATATGTCATTATGTCAGCAGCTTTTAAGGCCGACCGACATAATTATGTCGAAATGGGTGTTTAAACAAAACTAGGTACAAACATGTGCCATAGGTTAAAAATGCAAATCGTTTGAATAACTTAAACTAAAAAAAATATACTTTCATAAGTTTTTACGTAGGTAATTCGAATTTAATTGGGGCTTATAGTCTAGAAAGAATGCAGGAACGCATTCGATTGGGCAGGTGTATACAGATGTAACTTTTAATCCGTTACATAATTTCAGAAGTGCCGATTATTTTACGACTCGACTTCCTCATTTCATTAAATTCTTAGTTATACACGATGCCTTTGTAAATATTTGTTTTTCGAATATATCACGGCAAGCGGATAGGGCTAAAATGAGGAAGTCGGTACAAATTAACCTATACCCTCAAGTGAGATAATATGCCATCATTTTCCAAAGCCAAAGTGTAATTTGGAACATTTTTGTTATAGTTGGCGGTCCAATTAATGAATTTTTTAATTTGGCGAACAGTGTATTTTGTAGAAAAAGATCTACGTTAATTTTATGAAGAATGGTGAATGTGGGCAATGAAAATGATGTTATATATTTCAAGCCAAAGTAGTTTTGGTACCTATGATATACCTACCGTTTAAAGCTGCCTTATAACCAAAGAGTGCGCTCTCAGTTGTTTGCAAATAGTTGCAGTGACGTTGAACAGCCATATCCCTGGCAATAAATGTTAAAAAAATTATTCTGTTAAATAAATTTTGCAACGATAACTTAAGGTACATCTGCCATACCAAAATACCCACAATTTAAACAAAGTACATATACTACATGTTGTGATAAATGTATCTGTATACGTTATCATTATCATGTACATAGGTGGGTAGCCTTGAATATAGAAATATAAATGCAGTATGCAAATAGAGCGCAATCCGATGAGTTTTATTTCCTCCAAGTTACAACAGTGGCGACGAGGATTAAAGTAAATTAAATATCCTAAATTAAATTAAGGTAAACGCGTTTGATAAATACCTAAAAGTAAATTAATATTAAATCCAAATAAATATACCTAATAAAATAAAATGGCCGCGCTTCTCGGTAGAATTCAAGAATACAAAATCGAAGATAAAAACTGGTCGTCATATATCGATCGCGCGATTAAAACAGTATTTTAAGGTGAACGAAATTGAGGCTAGCAAGCATACGCCAATATTAATTACCGTCATCGGAGGGGAAGCGTTTGACTTAATGGTGGATTTGTGCAACCCCAGAAGATAAAAAGTTTGAAGATCTAGTCAAGCTGATGCAAGACCATCTCCAGCCGCAACCATCCGAAATAGCGGAAAGATATAAATTTCGCCAACGCAAGCAGGACGTTGGGGAGTCAGTGGCAGTGTACATGGCTAATTAAAAAAAAATTAGCTAAAGATTGCAAATTTGGAGAAAAATTTGAGGAAAATCTGCGAGACCAATTAGTCTTCGGGCTCAAGAGTGAAACCACCCGACAGCGATTGTTCGTGGAGAAGTCACTCACGTTCCATAAAGCACAGGAAATTGCTGTGGGGATGGAAGCAGCAGAGACCAACTCCCATTTGATCGCCGGAACTTCGTCAGTAGCGGCGGTTCATAAATTGCAGGCGACGAGGAGAAGGGTAGCGTGCAAGGAAGAGTCCAAAGAAAAGGGTCAGCGCAGTGGATACCGAAGGAGCAGGTGAAATCACTGTGGTAAATATAATCATGTAGACGATAGTTGTTTTTTTCGTAATGCGCAGTGCCATCTGTGCCAAAAAAAGGGACACATCGCTTCATTTTGTAAGGGTAAATCACGAGCGAATAGCAATTATCATAAATATGTTAATGATTCATTAGAGTAGTCGGATTTAGATTTAAATGATTTAAACATTTTCACGATTGCCTCGATAAATAACCAGCCTATAAAAATGTGCATACAGGTAAATAATAAATGGATCACAATGAAAGTTGACACAGGGTCAGGAATTTCGGCGATTTCTGATAAATTTTATTTGCAACATTTTTCGCAATGTAATCTTATAAATTCAGATATCCATTTAAAAAGTTATAATGGCAACGATATTAAATGTATCGGATATTGTGTAGTCAATGTCACGTATGACAACACAACTGTAAATAATTTGTAATTATTTGTTATAAGAAATGGGGGACCTCCGCTTATTGGCAGAGATTGGTTAAAAAAGGTTAATATTTCGATTGATAACATTTTTCATATTGATAATCAACCGAACAGGATTTCAAAAATGTTAATTGATAAATTTCCCGGCGTGTTTGATAACGATTTGGGTAAGTTTAATGGAGGAAAGGCTAAATTGTATTTAAAAGAAAACACGGTTCCGATTTATCGCAAAGCACGTCCGTTACCATTTGCTCTAACCTGTAAAGTGGAGGAGGAATTAAACAATTTAATCAAATTGGATATTTTAAATCCCGTTAATAGTAGCGAGTGGGCAACTCCAATTGTCCCGGTTCTTAAAAAAAATGGCCAAGTGAGAATCTGTGGCGATTTTAAAATAACCTTAAATCCCCATCTTCATATCAATAAATACCCCGTTCCTAAAATTGACGATTTATTGGTGTCATTAAAAAATTGCGCGATTTTTAGTAAGATAGATCTTTCGCAGGCGTATGCGCAGATTGAATTAGACGACGAATCAAAAAAATTGGTCACTATAAATACCCATAAGGGTCTGTTTCAGTGTAACACGTTGCCATATGGGGTAGCATCCAGCCCAGGTATTTTTCGACAACTCACTGAAAATATTTTTGCTGGCATCGACAATGTGGTAATATTTTTGGATGACATCTTGATCGCATCGGAGAACGAAGGAATCCATATAAAAACACTTATGGAGGTATTCCAAAAATTAAGCCAAGTTAATTTAAAAATTCAAGTAAATAAATGTTCGTTCGCAACGACACAAATTCAGCACTTAGGGTTCATAGTCGACAAAGAAGGTATACACACTGATCCGATTAAGATGGAAGCCATTAAAAAGGTAAAGGTACCGCAAAATGTGACTCAGTTGAGGGCATTTTTAGGCTTAGTAAATTATTACGCCAAGTTTTTACCAGGTATCACTAATATTTTGTATCCTTTATATAAATTATTAAGGAAAAACGAGCCATTTCAATAGCAAACAGCTCAACAAAGAGCATTTGAAAAAATTAAATCACAATTAATGTCATCTAAAGTGATAGTGCATTACAACCCCCAATTGCCGATTATTTTAGCAGTTGATGCGAGTGCTTATGGCATCGCAGCGGTCATATCGCATAAATTTGATAACGGGGACGTAAAACCCATAGCGTACGCATCACGTACATTATCGTCGGCGGAAAAATCTTATTCCCAAATTGATAAAGAGGCTCTAGCAATTGTATATGGCGTTAAGAAATTTCATCAATTCTTATACGGTAGAAGCTTTACATTACTAACTGATCATAAACCCTTGATTAGTAGTTTCGGGGATAAAAAGGGAATTCCAATTTTTGCTGCCAGTCGATTACAACGCTGGAGTGTCATTTTATCTACGTATAATTTTAAAATCAAATTCATAAATTCCGAAAGTAATGGTAATGCTGATGCTTTATCCAGATTGCCAATAGAAATGAACGTAAGGGATGAAGTTGATTTGGGACACATTTTGTACATAGAGGAAAATATTCCAATTAATCATCAGGATATTGCAGCCGAATGTAAGAAAGATCCTGTATTAAACAGAATTATAGGATTTTGTTTACATGGGTGGCCGCATAAGGACAACTTGGATAAAGAATTCGCAACGTTTTATGAAAAGCACAAATTAAATGAGATTCATATCGTACGAGGTTGTGTACTATGGGGTTATCGCATAATAATACCTCAACAATTGCGACCAAATATCTTAAAAGAATTACACTTAAGTCATTTAGGAATTAATAAATGTAAGTCTTTGGCGAGATCATATGTATGGTGGCCCAATATCGATTATGACATCGAACAAATGTGCAAACGATGTATGGTTTGTAGTACAATAAGGCCAAATGTTTCAAGAACTACATTAAATCCGTGGCCGATTGCACATCGACCTTGGTCCAGGTTACATATAGATTTCTTGGGTCCGCTAAATGGACAAAAGTACTTAATTGTCATAGATGCTCACACAAAGTGGTTGGAAGTTATTAAGGTTAATTCCACTACAGCTGACAACATTGCTTCGAAGCTGATGAAATTATTTAGTCAGTTAGGGTGGCCAGACTCGGTAGTCTCAGATAACGGCCCACCGTTTACATCCTCAGATTTCAAAACGTTTTTGAAAAATAATGGCATCAGGCAATTGTTTACACCTCCTTACCATCCACAAAGCAATGGAGCAGCGGAAAATGCTGTCAAATTAATTAAGCAAGCTTTAAAGAAGAGAAAGCAAAGCATAATCCGGATACTTTTTTATGTCGTTTTTTTGCTAGATTATCGCAATAGTGAACACAGCAGTACAGGAATTAGCCCAGCCAAAGCCATGTTTGGCAGGAATCTTAAAAATCGACTCGATTTAATTATGCCCAATCGTTATAGAACAGTCGAGGAAAAGGTAATCAAACAGGTAGAAAATTTTGGCGGAAGAAATAAAGTTATTGAGGTAGATGATAAGGTCATTATTAAAGATTATACTACACCTACCCATCCCGTGGGAATGTTCGGGAAAATTGCCAACAAGCGAGGGTCCGTCTTGCTCGATGTTGAAACATCTACAGGGAAAAATGTAATTAGACATTCGGACCAAATTCGAGTGATTGAAAAGAATAATAATAACAGAAATTCATTATTGGTTTCAACATGGAACAAGAACGACGAAGAGGTAAAAGTGGAGGTAGATAAGTCACCTAGTACGTCACAAGTTGTTCCCGACCTCACCGATAAGACAGTGTGCGTCGATGTTGATAATGGACCTAGTACGTCATCGCAAGTGATAAGTGACGTAGATTTAGTACAATCCCAACCAGTTGTACAGGAACGATATCAATTGCGTCCTAGAAAATAAAATTTTGTTGTTCTCTTTTTGATGTAAATAAGAATTTGTATTTAGTTAAGGAAGTTTCCAAATAAGGGAGAAGGTGTGATAAATGTACCTGTACACGATATCATTATCATGTACATAGGTGGGTATCCTTGAATATAGAAATATAAAAGGCAGTATGCAAATAGAGCGCAATCCGATGAGTTTTATTTTCTCCAAGTTACAACTTAATTACACCGAATGGGTCCTTTTCAATTTTCTCGATTCCTAAGATGTACATTTGAAGTTCATAAATAGGTACATGTTAACAATGTTACCAATAATTTTATTAGAGGCCTTTTGGGTTTTCTATGTGATTATTATTTTCTTATAATTTGAATTCACGTATTAACCAGAAAATCAATGTTCAAATTTAGATTGGTGCCCCTCTATCCTCTAGCAATTTTTAACAGAAAATTATAACTTAATGACCATTATAAAATATACACCCAATTAGCGGACAGTAAGCCATGGAACGAAGGTGAATTTCTGACTGACTTAAAACAAAGTAGGAATTCAAAACTGGTGTAACTTGGCTTAAAGAAATGTAAAGTAGTTCCCACCTAGCAAATTTATGAATGGAATGAACTTCCTAATTTAACATCTTTTATAGTGATGTGACATTTTAAAGTGTAGAAAATAAGTTTTATGTACGATAATGTTAGTACGTCAATTGGATTTATAAATATTTGTCGCAAAATAGCATTTTGGAACATTTTCCGGGTACGATTTTTTCCCATGAATAAATAAAATGCATGGTTCAGTTTTTCAGTGTTCTTGATTGAGTTCGTTCATGGCACTTTTTGAAGTACGAAACGTCGTAGTAGAAGTATAAATAAACATTGTGTAATTCATTGCTAATTTTTTATGCCATGCAGTATAAGTGATTATACTTTGTGTAATTTGTTAATTAGATTGTCATAAAACTTTCTACATCGGAAGTGCATGTAGCCTTCACGTAATTTTTGATTCTTGAAGGAAGTATCAGTACTTAAATATTTTTATACTCATCCACATGACCACACATTTGATTTAGTTTGTTTAGGCATTGTGGATAATATTATTGTATCATAAAGGCTTCGAATTCTGAACAAAGTTATCTACAAAGTGGTTGAACAACAAAAAAGAACTTAATAAAATTTACTGGATAAAAAGCAAAACATGTCACCCTGTGTATTTATTCTATTCTACAATGGTGAACATAGCAATGTCGATAAACGTTTTAATGTTAATTAAGCTTTTAAATGTTACAGTTGCGAATTAATCGAGGTAGTAAATGTTTATTACATGAGCTGCAGAAACTTATCATCCCCATCTTTGAAATTGAAGCGTGAAGTGAATAAGGACTAAAGTCAAACTGTACGTAATCAGGAAATTTGTTGTTTGTGTATTTCAAATCCGATCGGAGAAATTGGCCCATATGAATAAAAGTGAGCAAATGCTTATACTTGCAAAATTCAAAGTAAATACTCGTAAGTGCTCCTTCACACTGGGAGACTTAGCAGGATAGGACGCAGTGTAGCGCTGCTAAACAGACCAGTATGAAGGGCCACTTACGAGTATTTACTTTGAATTTTGCAAGTATAAGCATTTGCTCACCTTTATTCATACGACCCTTATTTTTATGAGTGAAAACAAATTCATTCGCTTATTTTATAAGAGATGTTCAATTGACAGTTTAATTATAGGTGTTAATGAGTAGGCTAAGTGTCTCTTTAACAGTAAGGGTAGATACAGCGACCACTTTAACGGCAAGGGTATGATAAAGTGAAACTAATCATTGCACATTCCAATGACATCAGTCATTTCTATGGGATGCGGAGCACGAAATAAAACAGAATACAATATTGTTTCCATGAAAACGACGGGAGAACCTAAGCTTGCTCTTTTGGACGCCTGACGTCTAAATTAAGTACCTACAGAATAACTTTTGGTGCAGAATCTCGTAGGGAGACTTAGAGAAGTTTGCTTCTATAATCGCTCGTTATGAAATATTTTATCGGCTAATGTACCAAACGCGATAATTGTATATAGTAGTGCGTGTTTTAATCCCGAGGGTACAGATTGTTGCCCGAAACGCAGTTGAAGGCATCAAGCTCCTGAGGGATTATAATGCACTTCAGTCCTGTGGTATATACGCTATTTTTGTACTCCTGTATCGATGTTAAAGTTCGAATTCGAAAGAAAAAAGTTTGTTTGATTGTAGAATCAGTGTACCTTTTCTTAAAACGAATAAAGATCTGGATCTGGATGTCACATTAATTAATTAAAATTAGGCGCCCTTCAGAAGAGATTTTGTCTTTTAAAAGTAGGCATAGGGAAAATCACACGTAAATCTACTTCTTAATAAATATTACTGTATATAAAGGTAACCATTAATCATTAAAGTGTGTACTGTCACTTTTTGTCCCGTGTCGCGTTTTTGTACCCCCGGGAGACAAAGTGACACCAGTCACTTAAACGAATGACACGTTGGATTTATTCCACGGAGTACAAAAAATTGTTTAGCTCGTAATTGATCTCGATCTGGTATCGCATAGGTACGTAGGTACCAAATAGTTTAGTGTTGAATGTTGTGTAAGCAAAGTTTGACAACATGAAATACGGCTCCAGAATCCATTGATCTCACTCAGTACTAATTAGTATCCACCCATGTACGTTACATTCACACGAAATTAATAGTCCGTTTTATACGAGTATAAACGCTCTGACATACAAATAAATGCAAAGGAAAGTGGTACACAGAACCCAAAAGTTCGCGAATCTCAATAGTATATTATGTAACATTAGCATTGAAAGAGAAATTTGTCTTGCTACCTGAAGTAGAATTATCCTTGACCTCAAAGTACGTGTAAAAGCAATTAGGATTCATTACGGAAAGCAATTTAAATACTATAATCTATTTTAAAGAGAACAATTGTTAAAAAATTATACGCTAGAAGATTAATTACGTAAGGTAACAACTACGAATTTCGTAACTCGCCATTCCCCCAATTACGATAGGAAGTAGATGCCTAATAAACGAAATGTATGCTAATACTAGTTTAGTGGGCCCGGAAATAATTCTTCGTAGCCCATTTCTTGCCGTGTTTTTTTTTCTTCGGTAAAATAACGAAAGGGAAAGGACAACCTGCTTTAGTAACATCCTCAGCTCGTGCTCACCGGCTTCAGAATCCAAATTGCAATATAAGTTAGCCCCTCTACTCCCCCATTTCTTTTATAAATTTCATATAGTAATCTTAAGTACCGCCAGTTTCAAATTGTAGTTTTAATCTTGTAGATATTAGCAATTTTTGGTGTTTTGTTGAGTGAAAGTGACAAGTGCAATTTTGTACTGCTCTTCTTTGTAACACCATTGTTGTTGGCTTACTCTCTAAGGTACTGGCACTATAAAATATTAATTTTACATCATCATTTTTTGTAAGTTTCGATTTAATTTCATATTTTGCGTCGAGTGTTGGCTAATTTCTACACGAATCATCATGTAATAATTACATAAACATAATTTTTATCTTTCAGTCGAGGCATAACTAAGTACTGTCATTTTCTCGGCACACATTTAGTATTTACTTAGGGAAAAATACAAATAATTGCTGAACTTTTTATTAAAAGAAGTAAATTTAATGTTAATGTATAATCGCCACCCCGAATAATTGCTCACGTACTAAGTACAAAGCTTCCTGTACGTTGTTTCTTTTTAATTAGCATCCCAGACATTTAAATGAAAGGGAAAATGATGGCACGAAGTGTAAGTTTCTTAATTTTCACATGAGGCTCAGGTATGCGCCGTGTGAAGGTCGTACAGGAAATAAACTTCTATACATTTCTTAATTTCGTTTACGTGACTATTTCCATAAATTACTAAAGATGCTCGAATGTTGCTCAATCGCACAACTAGTTTGGCCGTTTATGGTTTCATTATTCAATAGAAATAATGTTAAACACAATGATATCTTGCCATAAAATCTGTGATCAATAATATTGAAAGAATCAAAAATTAAAAACCATGCTTTTTTAATCAGAAAGCAAAAAAAACGCGTCCTAAGTAAATTCAATCCAAGCAAATTATCTAATTAAAAGAAGATAGCGGGTGAAGATAGAGAGCCCACGATAAAGTCATAGTCATAAAGATCTAAATAAGAGAGTGAAGGAAGAAAAACTATTAAAACAATGGAGAGTGTCAGATGGGGAAATGAAGAGGAAGGGAAAGAGAAATAGAGACAAGAAAAATATGCGGAGAGGAAGAAGAGGACATAAAACACATGGGACTGTACGGAGGTGGAAAAATAGGAGTGGGGTGGTGGATGAGGGGGAGGAGGTGAGAAGTGGATTACTTGAATTTTAAAGAGAAAAAGGGAAAATGCATTTTGGTTTTATGTTGTTATTAGTTATTAGTAGCATTAATTGATTGATTGAAGAAAGAATCTTTTGGAATCAAATCTAACGAGCATAAAACCGAGCTTAATTAATAATAACCCAAGCCCCTCATGACATGCCAACTCTAACATTAAACTTTTAAACCATACCTTACGCATTGCAAAGAATCGACGATTTCTAAAAGAATTTCAAAGGGGTTGTATCTTATCACATAAACAAAAGGGGTGGATTTTAATTATGTAGATTTACCAGAAAAAAAGTATCTGGGCGTCTATAATTTTTTATTCTTGTTAAATTCGTGCTATATCACATTCAATGGCCGTGAAGGAAGACTGTCACGGATGAGTGGCATGCTTTTGGTGGGAAAAGGAAAAAATGATCTTTTTACAAGAAAGTTTAAAGCTAAATTAAAACCTTCTCTGTAACAAATAAGGAAAAGCATTATTCGCCCACTTTCATTAGAAGCTATAATTTTAGTACTTTATGATTATATGGCATATCCGATCGGAAGTACTAAAAATAAGTAAAGCGTAAAACTGTTTTCTATTGTAACTTATTGAGAATAAATTCAGATAGTTTGAGAAATGACGAGAAGAGCAGTATGGAAGGTGATCAGTCGCAGATACTACTCAACAGATCGTCCATTTTCAACGGTCGTCCTTCCAGAGATGTTAGAAGATTACCAGCGGGAAACGGTCGAGAAAACAATACCCAAGTCTTACAGCGAGGTTCCAGGTCCACGATCATTACCAATTGTCGGTAACACATGGCGATTTGCTCCAGTGATAGGTACGCATTTTCGACATCCTCTCTTGCTCCATTCTACTTTTAGGCCAATATCAGATTTCGGATTTGGACAAACTGATGTGGTCGCTCTTCGAAACGTACGGCAAAATCGTAAAGGTATCCGGACTGATCGGGCATCCAGATCTCCTATTCGTTTACGACGGCGACGAAATTAAGAAGGTTTTCCGAGGCGAGGAGGAAATGCCGCGCAGACCTTCCATGCCTTCGCTGCACTACTACAAGGAGATTTTGCGCAAAGATTTCTTCGACGGAAACGCCGGAGTTATCGGAATGTAAGCGAATGAGTCTGACGTAACGTTTCATGGCAGTTTTATTTCAGACATGGGCCCAAATGGGACGAATTTCGGAAGCAAGTTCAACAAATTGTTCTTCCGCCTTCGACCGCAAGGAAGTACATACAGCCGCTGAACGTTATCGCTGGGGAGTTTTTAGAAAGGTACGTTGCGTAATTAGCAATTGTCAAAAAACCGTTTTGAACCAAAGGCTGCAGTAAAATATCATAATGATATCGCGTGACATTCACTTTCGCGTAAAAACGATTCATTCAAGCTATCGGCCGCCAATCACAATGGATACCATTTTTTTCGGGATGTGAGGCTGCTTAGACTACTTAAGAGTATTGTTACTTTTTTTGCAATATAACTTTCTATTCCATTAAACTACGTGTCTGATAGATTGATTGATTGGTTCTTTGTTAGCCCATTTCTACGTTGCACGCTCAATTAAACTACATATGCGTAACTAATCAAAGTAATAATTATTATTAAATAAGACGCATATCAAGAAGGATATTGAGAATGCTCTTTCCGAGTAACTAACATTTCTACCCCAGGATAGCGCACCTCTAAATGGGGTTGAGAAGAAAAATCTGATTTCCACATGCATTTATTAAGTCCGTCGTATAGGTTCACTCTTTGCGAATTTTTATTACACCTTCCTTTATCTCAACACTTTCTTCGGTCCTTGGTTCCGTCCCACGCTTTTATTTCCTTCTCCATTTACATCCAATTCCATTCTTATCCAATTCTTTCAACGTTTTCAAATTTCACTTTCTGCAGATAGGAGAATGTGGTCGCCCACCAACTTTTTTGACTCGGTTCTTATATCTACTTTCTACCAATGTAAAATAGGTTTCCTAGCGATTTCCAGGTGTAGCGCCTTCTTTGATGGTTCTCAATCCATGTTCGTAACAATCAAATTATTTTCTCTTTGGCACCGTTAACGGGGGAAACAGGGACGCAGCCAGTAGTATAGGCATAAGAGAGATCCGAGGAGAGATCTGCAAATGACCCCCAACTTTTTATGTCGATACGATACACACACTTCTTGGTCATCGAGCAATTGATATTGATTGGGCAATAAAGTGATGGATATTAAAATGAATTCGTGATAGTTGCCCATCTGGAACCATAAGCATTAATATAGCGAAAACCGGAAGTCGATACAAGTTCTTCTTCCCAAGAAAATCTGTACATAAATAACGATTTTGACAAAAATACACATGGACCACTTCTTCGGCATTGCGCAATTGAATTTCCCAAGAAAATCGATGCATAAATAACGATTTTGACATCCTTTGGATAAAAATATTTTGGTCACCAAAAATATCATTTCTTGGTCATCGAACGACATGCAGACGGACGGAAATGTGAAGTCACAAGCGCTCCACTTTCGTGGATTGCGCTAAAAACGAACACAGCAAATTATTAATATTTCGCCTGCCTGCTCCGTAGATTTACTTGCCCGCTCTTAGTAACTAATCTGACTACGGCCCTGTTGGGATAGCAACGGATCTTTAATGCAGTGGTTTCCCGTTGTCTTCTGTATCTTATGCCGTTTACTGTAGTTCGCCTTTTGGAGAGATTTCTCTGTACAAGGACAAGAGGGTGTCCTTCACTCAACCGATCTTCTGCCATGGTGCCGTGGGTACTTGATGGGAGTCGATCCCTTATCCTGGGAGTAATGTAGTTCCATCGACCCCAAATTAATAAAAAAAATTGTGTTTTCCCGAGAAATGTTGGTGTAGTCGATTTTTGGTAAAAAAGGAAGGTTATACACTGCCTTTTTTTGAGCCTCGAAGAAAAAATTGGGTCGGATCGACCCGGAAAAAAGATGTTCTTATAGAATATGGCTTGTAGAATCCATAATTTCAAACAGTTCCAAGATTGGGCTACTAGTTCAAAAGTTACAACCCTTTGAATTTTTTTTCGAAATTGGTTTCTAGTCTATAACTTTTGATTGAGAAGTCTGATCGAAAAAGTACGAATTGTTTTGGATTCTACGCACCAAAATTAATAACAAAAAGTGTTTTCCCAAGAAATTTTAGTGCAGTCGATTTTTGGTAAAAAAGGAAGATTACACACTGCCTTTTTTTGAAAAAAATTGTCTCAGATCGATCCGGAAAAAATTTTTCTTATAGAATGTGGCCTGTAGAATCCATAATTTCAAACAGTTCCAAGATTGGGCTACTAGTTCAAAAGTTACAGCCCTTTGAATTTTCTTTCGAAATTGGTTTCTAAGTCTATAACTTTTGATTGAGAAGTCTGATCGAAAAAGTACGAATTGTTTTGGATTCTACGCACCAAAATTAATAAGAAAAAGTGTTTTCCCGAAAAATTTTGGTGTAGTCGATTTTTGGTAAAAAAGGAAGGTTATACACTGCCTTTTTTTGAGGCCCGCAAAAAAAATTGTCTCAGATCGACCCGGAAAAAAAATTTTCTTATAAAATGTGGCCTGTAGAATCCATAATTTCAAACAGTTCCAAGATTGGGCTACTAGTTCAAAAGTTACAGCCCTTTGAATTTTCTTTCGAAATTGGTTTCTAGTCTATAACCTTTGATTGAGAAGTCTGAGCGAAAAAGTACGAATTGATTTGGATTCTACGCACCCAAATTAATAAGAAAAAGTGTTTTCCCGAGAAATTTTGGTGTAGTGGATTTTTGGTAAAAAGGAAGGTTATACACTGCCTTTTTTTGAGCCCCCAAAAAAAATTGTCTCAGATCGACCCGGAAAAACAATTTTCTTATAGAATGTGGCCTGTAGAATCCATAATTTCAAACAGTCCCAAGATTGGGCTACTAGTTCAAAAGTTACAGCCCTTTGAATTTTCTTTCGAAATTGGTTTCTAGTCTATAACTTTTGATTGAGAAGTCTGATCGAAAAAGTACGAATTGTTTTGGATTCTACGCACAAAAATTAATAAGAAAAAGTGTTTTCCCGAGAAATTTTGGTGTAGTCGATTTTTGGTAAAAAAGGAAGGTTATACACTGCTTTTTTTTGAGCCCCGAAAAAAAAATTGTCTCAGATCGACCCGGAAAAAAATTTTCTTATAGAATGTGGCCTGTAGAACCCATAATTTCAAACAGTTCCAAGATTGGGCTACTAGTTCAAAAGTTACAGCCCTTTGAATTTTTTTTCGAAATTGGTTTCTAGTCTATAACTTTTGATTGAGAAGTCTGATCGAAAATGTACGAATTGATTTGGATTCTACGCACCCAAATTAATAAGAAAAAGTATTTTCCCGAGAAATTTTGGTGTGGTCGATTTTTGGTATAAATGGAAGGTTATACACTGCCTTTTTTTGAGCCCCGAAAGAAAGTTGTCTCAGATCGAGCCGGAAAAAAAATTTTCTTATAGAATGTGTCCTGTAAAACAGTTCCAAGATTGAGCTACTAGTTCAAAAGTTACAGCCCTTCGAATTTTCTTTCGAAATTGGTTTTTAATTCTTTCCCCGGACATTACATTCATCTCTTGTTTTACTATACCATGGCTAAATTTTGTATGTTTGAACGAAAATATGCTTTTAACGTGACACGACAAATTTCCCTCTGTGTGTTAGTAAATTGGTTGAATATATTTGATTAAATATTATAAGAGTTGGTTGGCATAGGACAATAGAGTTTAGTGAGGACAATTATTACCCTTTTCAGATCTTTGGTGCTTCCCTCATAAATCAATGGTGTGCATTGTGCAATGACTTAAGCAACATTTGGCAAATTAGTACTTGGACTGATTATTGAATATCGGAAGTATTTCATAATTGACTAATTTGTTTAGGCTATTGACACAGTGTATAGGTATGCACAAACGCGATCGTTAACGTTTACATTTCTTGCACAAACAAAGACCGAAAGGAACAAATGAATTACATCAAGCACGTAACTATTTTTTCAAGACAAACAAAAGTGAAATTCAACAACCGAAAACAATAGGGACACGGGCACGTTTTCGAAATTTTCGTTTAAGCAGTTACGCATTTCCACATCACGAAATGAAATCAAACATCACTATATGCATTGTGCAAATGTTAATTATGATATTTCAATAATTTTATTGAAATATTCGTCGTGACGGGGACACAAATTTAGTAATGAGTTACATATGCTGTACCTATTATATAATGTAACATTTGGTCTGAACAGTTTAATCTCACGCGCCCTCAGATTACATCAGACAGATCATGAATGTTGAGCCACTTCCTTGTTCATATAAAGGTATTTAGGTAAGACCTCCTTTTGATCAACTTGATCAGTAACACTACGCTTTTCGATTTTTAGAATGGAAGAATCCCTAGATGAGAACAAGGAGTTGCCCGATAAATTCCTGTACGAAATCTACAAATGGGCTTTGGAATGTAAGTGTAGCGCACTTTCAATTGCTTGGTAACCATCAAATCTTGTCAGCGGTCGCAAGAGTTTCCTTGGACACACGCCTTGGATGTCTAGACAGAAATTTGAATGAAAATTCCGAATCGCAACGAATTATCAATTCGATCAACACCTTCTTTTGGAACGTCTCCGAAGTTGAACTGAAAATGCCGATATGGAGGTTTTACAAGAATAAGGCTTTCACGAAGTATATTGGCGCACTGGAAGATTTTCGAACGTAAGTTTATCTCATAACCTTTTCGTTTATTGCCACAGTTCGAATGTTTTATTACATTAAAAGTATGTGGTACAAATTGTTTAAGACCATGAATCGTGAGTAGGTAAACGGGGCTCGTTGTACTACCGGTATTATGTAACTGAAAGAATTCAAAGTCAAGTTCAACTTTCACTGTGAGGCGTAATCGAAAGTGAGTTCGCACGGATTATGCAGTACATGTAGGTCAAAAGCGCACTGATATTTCCTTGTTGGTAATAACCGTAATGCGGTACATTGGCATACGGTATTAGTAAAAGGGCAAAAAATCGGTCACTTTCTTTTTTGCACTCGATTGGGATGTAGTCGACAAAATTTAATTTACTTTATGTAAAATGTTACCAGATTCTGGAACTGCAGCACTCGATGTCTGTAATTTTATTACTTAATCGACCCGATCGACGGTCTACATAAATCATGATTCTATTAATTATTATGCTGTGTACAAACGAAAATTTATGCGAATTGCCAATTTGATTTGAGATTTGATCCCACACAAGCACGGGAAGAATAAATGCCAAACTGCATAGAAAGTAATAGGTGTGTTTAAAACGCAATCCGTAAAACAAATATACCTATTTTATAGTACACCTACATCTCTCGTATTTTATTATTGCTAAGTTCAAAAGTTCAAGTTTCAAAACAATAATGGTATCTTCATCCGAATTTTTAAGGAATATGTCTAATCATTTAAACAAATATGAATTTTTGATGCCCCACAGAAGTGGATTTTATTAACAAATGTTATATTTTTAAATCGGCGAGATTTTAAAGGCAGAAGCGGATTGAACATTTAAAGTAGGTAGTGGAAAGGAGAGATTAAAACGTTCGTAATTTTTCATCCACAAACAGTGCTGTGGTGAAATATTCTAATTTTTAAATGACTAATAGCGTTGAGCGAAAAACGTTATTCAATGCTAATAGGTGGAAGGTTGAAGGTATATCAATATAACGTGGACTAATGGAATTTTAAAATAGGTCGTATTTATAAGAAAGAGGATTTCCTTTTACTTGTAAAACTTAAAGCATTTACTCCACGTCTTATTCAAAAAGAAAAAGAAGGAAAAGGTAATATGCTAGAAGGAAAAGGTGTTGCTCCAAAAGAAAAGGTTCCACTATTTAAAATTCATAAAAAGTAGCCTTTGCTTTAAAACTGAAGGATTTACTTCAGAAAATGTCCATCTAGTTCGATGAAGCTTTTGTAGATTTACTTTATTCGTATACATGCAATTGTAGAGTAAAGATGTTTAGTCTAAATATCAATGAGGAGGGAACGAGGGAACAAGCAAATAATTTAATAAATAAAATGCTGACACAATGGCATAATTTGCCGAAAATTATCGTGCGTAATAATAATCTGTTTAACCTCCTGCAAAAAAGCCTATGGCTCCTATTCTAGAAGATTGCAAAAAGGAAACTCTAATCCTTCTTCTAACTCCTTTAGACCCGACTTTGCAATCCTCGAGTCTACCTCAAATCGATGCAGATGAAATTTTCGAACGTTTTAAGATTTAAAGTCTGTTTAGGGATTCCGACGACGACGGTTCAGATGCTTCTCCAAAAAACGGCATCTTCCCCTGATATAAAACAAATTCGAAAATATTAGCTCATCATAAATAAAAAAGAAAGTTAGTTTTCCTAATTCTTTATCATTAGATAAGTTGGCGATTTTAAGTCAGTCGCAAAAAATTGCGAAAATAACCGAAAATATTTCGGAATCGTCAAAGTAAGTTAAATTTTGTGTAGATTCAAAGAAAGTGATTTCAGACGTGTAATCATAGCAATCCCGAATCAATTATATTTTTTATCGAATCTGTTGAAAAAATACTCAAAATACCGAATATCGAGTTTTTTAGTCGTTCAACAAGTAAGGTCGATTGTCAAATTTTAGAATGGTAGTCTTCTATGACAAAGTGGTGTTATCAAGGAAATGCTATTAAAAAATTCACAGATTTCGCCACCCTGTTATTAGTAGCAATTTATAAAAGAACAAAAGTCACGGCTATTGCTATACGAATAACAGAAACGTTGAAATTAATTTTTAAATTTGCCGGTATACCAAAAGCTTAATAAAACATGTAAACAGTTTTGTATGCACCTTTTAATTCTGAACAACTTTAAACTCTGAAGTTTTTTTTGTAAAATGTACAGGAGGGCAGGATATTGCATAAAACTAATTTCCCATGTTAAATCCCTTTGTTCCAAATTACGGTGCACCACCCGATATAAGTACCACCTTCTGTTAAAATTTCGTAAAAATGCGGCACATGCACAATCTATTTTTGACGTGCTACTTCAATTTCATTTTATAAGGCACAATAATTTATTGTTTTATGTGATTTTAGCCTGCGTAGTAAGTATGTATCTATTTTTTGAGGTGCATTAAGTTCATATTCATTCCTTCCTTTTAAAATTGCAGAAAAATCCGTCCACAAATAATAAAGTTAACACTGCGCATGCACAACCTATTCTGTGACACGTCATTTCAATTTGATTTTCTAAGCATTTTCTGACCTTAGAATATGGAATTTATATGTACAGACGGACGGGCAGACGGGCGAGCGGACAGACCGACGGACAGACCGGCGTACAAAGTGACCAGACATTTTTGTATTTTTAAGAAAATGCGCTAAAAAAGGCGACTCGTAGTTTTAAACAGCATGCCTAATCAACAATTATAAATTGTTAGATTACATTACAGTCATCAGATGTTGAATTACTACATAAGACGACAAGATTTGTTCTATAAAGTCATTATTTATTTGTGTTGGATGAAAGTACCCATAGGGATAATCATAATTAATCACACCACATTATCTATTGATTGAGGTAGGTAGGTATAAAATATCTGTAGAAATTGAGATTGTGTCTATTTACAATTTAAGAGTAACTATTATTTGATGCTGTCATACGAATATATAATTTTAATGAAAAATATAAAATTCTGTTGGTATAAATTATCGCTAAAATTCCCCGATTGGCTGTATTGAATTCTTTTATCAACACTAAAACTGGGTTTTCTACAGGGGCGCGTTGATTTTTTTTATTTGATTATATTTCCTTTGTTTATAAAAATTGAATAAAAGGAAAAAGTTCTCTCTACAATTTCCTATGCCTTAACGTGTGGAGTTTCGTTTTTCACTTTACTACTGTGTGGTATTAAATTCTGTAATTACACGAAAGTTTGCAAAGCAATTTTTAGAAAAGAAGATAAAATTTAATAAAATTGGAGACACAGAGGCATTTGGCTAGTTAAGTAAAGTCTATTCCAAAATTTGGACCGCAATATCTTTACTGATGGATCCAAAGTTATGCATTAAGAACGACTACTTGGTTTCTTTAGCATACAATATTTTTTTAAAGCCGAATGAAACTACTTCAATTTTTTTACTTACTTTTTCTTCACTTGTCCGCTGTCTTTTCTGCTTGAACCAAACTAGTAACTTCATACCCATATACCAAACATAAAAGCATTTTCAATGCTAAAATACATCAAAATCATTCATTTTGGTGAAATAGAAGCATGAAAAAAGTTCACGCTGTAAAGAATCGATCGGTGCGACCCGATTTGCAAAATCATTTTTGGTTGTTTCGAAAACTGGCTTCAAAGTCAAAAGCTCATTTCTCGTGAACTGTTAATCGGATTTAGACGTATTTTTTTTTAATGTACGGTTTTCCGAGAGCTTTACGTTCGCCCATTATAGAGTTATATTATTTTGTTATATTTCGGGAGTTTATTCCATTTGTTAACTAAGAAAATTCTTCGGATTTTGAAAAAAAAATTGCACAGTCTGTCGATTTGCAGGAATCATCGGGACAATTATTAGAAAAGATTGTTTTAGGGTTATAATATGTATAAAAAAATTGAGAACACTCTTGTACTCCCCCAGTTTGAAAGACAAAGCTTCTTTTTTTCTACTTGTTTATCTAATTAATCAATGAGTATGAAACCTACGGTGATCTGGTTTGTCATATTGTTTTGTTATCAAAAGTAGTTACTAAATACGTATTTTCAAAAAGATCGCATGAATTTTACTTAGTAATAACAAAGTGTTAATTTTCGAGATTACTGTTTTTACATTTTTCCCTAAAAAACAATAACAGTTGAAAATAAGGGTTCCGAACCAACTGTATCTTATAGAAAATTTTATTAAACAAGTTCATTTCTATTCATTTTTTCCCCCAGAGCAATAGTTAACGAGATATTGGCAGTCAAATGTGAAAAAACACGACATTTTCCCATTTTTTCTGCGTTTTTTGTTTATAACAATATGTTCCGGGCGTTTCCGGCCGGGGGGACTATGATTTTCCGATTCAGCGGATTTTTTTACATAGAATACGCTTGGTTTCGTTCAGTGAAATGACAAGATCCAGTTTATACTACTTTTAGAGCTAATTTGACTGGACTACTAATCGAGTGCAAAAAGATGACGAAGCTTTTCAAGATGTTTCTTCGGATATTAAATTTTAGGCCATTGTAATTATCCAGAAAATTTGCTAGTTTAAATTATCTGCCCCTACCGCAATAAAGCAACCTTTGACATCATGAAATATCTTCCAGAGCCCACAAATTTTATCGAATTAGTAGTAGAAACAACAGTTCACAAAGTTGAATCCATAGTGAGAAGGGATACGCCATCGGTAGTATCTAATGTTAGGCATCAGAACAATTATAATCCTCCAGTTCGAGAAGATCTAATTATAACGTGCCAGATAGAAGATTTTGTAGATATTGTAAAAATTATGGTCCGATTTCGCGTATTTCGGAAACAGTGCTACTTTCTAACTGCAGTATAAGCAAAGTATACAAATTAATTAGAGTATTTGTTAAAATTTCAGAATTTTCGTGGCTTGTAAAATTCCACATAATCCATAATCTAAATTTTGATGTCATAATTGGTGTTGATTCTCTTCCAAAATGAAATAAGCCTCAAGTTTTCTTAAAAGCAGTGGCAGTAGTTCCATTTCCTAGTGTGATAGCCTACCAAACTAAAATTTTTAAATACTGTAAGCGAAATTGAATATAAACTTAATTCTAAACAAGAAACGAAACTTCAAGAGATTATTTCTAACTTTTGAATTTGACATTAAAGTCAACTCAAGTAAATCCGTTTATCGTAATCCATGTTATCTAAATAAGCAAAAAGACTTACGAATACGCTCTTGTTCAACCTCTAATCAGGAAAAGGAGTTTCAATGATATGGAAATCCTTCAACGATTTTGGCATTTTTCCGAGAACTGCGTATAAACAAAAAGTCATTTCACACATTGAAACTAAGAGTAGCAAAATTCTTGTGTATATTTTGCTACTAAAAAAGAAGTTACATCTAACAACTATTCTTTAGATCAGGTTTTGCATCTGCATTTCATACGTTACCAATCCTAATAGCCCGCGATCACGTTTTGTGGAAAATCAGGCGAAAAATAAGTGACTCCACCATCAATAATTGTTGCCTATAATTTTCTCTATTTACAGGATAATGCTAAAAATGCAAAAAAGATGGTTAAAACTCTGATGCATTCTATAAACACCGACAAGCAATTAAACAATTGTATTTGTAGTAGTAATTACCTACCTATGTATAGACTTGAAAACAAAAGCAAATAGTAGATAATGAACGTGATAAGCGCGCACTTTTCTGTACCCATAAAGTGTGGTGGAACACGGAAATAACGGAACACTTGGATTTCAGATTATGCATGAAATACATAACTCGAACCGTCGAAAATATCTCTAGTAGGTCAGCAATCGACAAGCAAGAGGAAGACATATCGATCGTAGAAAGAATTTTCTTGAAAACCGGAAATAGCAAAGTTGCGGCGGTCCTGGCGCTAGACTTGTTGCTAGTTGGTGTTGATACGGTAAGTAAAGGCGTTTCGAGAAACTTAGCGGTGCTTTCACTAAACTCCTTAGACTTCGATAGCGTTAGCCTCTACTTTGTATCAACTTTCACAAAACCAAGACAAACAGCAAAAGGTTTACGAAGAGCTTTGCTCAATTCTACCAGAGGCTGGCTCGGCAATTGACAGTAACGCCCAGGAGAACTTGCACTATCTTAAAGCCTGCATTAAGGAAACCTTAAGGTATCTGTAACCACTTTTACCGTTTCATTTCTCTTATATACTTGCAGAATGTATCCCGTTATTATTGGTAATGGACGAAGTCTGTCCAATGACACTGTGATTGGCGGATACATGGTACCCAAAGGGGTAACTATAACTTTAGTTTACCTACGACTTTTAAATGCGAGGTATTCCGCAGACTCACATCATTTTTCCGCACCTGGTCGTGAGTAACATCGAAGAGTACTTCGACCAACCCCACAAATTCGTGCCGGAACGCTGGTTAAAAACGGAAATGGCCGGCTGTCCGATTCAGCACAAGAAGATACATCCGTTCGTAACGTTGCCCTTCGGCTACGGCCGTAGAGCGTGCCTAGGTAGACGGTTTGCGGAGATGGAGCTACAAATTCTCCTAGCCAAGGTAAAGAATAATCAATCGTCCTCAGTAAATATGTTCGATTTTAGATATTCAGGAAGTACAAAGTTGAGTACAATTATGGATCATTAACCTACGAAATAACGCCCACTTATGTGCCAAAAGAACCACTAAAGTTTAAGCTAACTTTAAGGTAGTTTAACCCTCGATATACATTGACAATTCGTTACTTGGAGTGATGGTATGAGAAAATGCCCGCGAGGCACTCGTCACCATTAAGTCACTGCAATTTACGTGTATATACAGCGAATCAATTTGTATTTTTCTACGACATATTCACTGCCTCAAACGAATTTAGGTAAATTTATAGGTATTACAGCAAAGATTTATATTCTAATGTAACTAATAAGTACAAACTAATTAAATGTTTTACTCAAATTAAGAACTCATTAATTGATTTGACCGCTCCGATAGAAAAATTACTTGTACCCAACACCCAATCCCAACATTGGGTACCAAGACATGGTGATCTATTTTTTCCTCTCGTTCAAGGGTTTAAAATTCGGGTTCAGGACAACTGGACTTTTGTATTGCGCCATAAAATAAAATCAATCACCGCTTCTAAAACGTCTGAAACGGTGGGTGTTGTCCGATTTTTTCGGTGGCAACACTTTTCAGGAACGAGTTTTCCGGGGCGAATTTAGCTCCAGATTATTATTTTTTACATCGGATGTTAGTTGATATATACACGTTTTGGAAAATTATACCTAGTTCTCTATTCAAATGAAATTAATCAATGCCTGGTGATGGAAAATTGAAAATCATCATCAAGCTACTCTTGTGTAGGAAGTGTAGAAGCAAATCACGAAGCTTCTTCCTGGGGAATTGCAAGAGATGTTGGTGTTTCGAGGACTAAAATGTAATTGGTTTCTTACGCAGGAGAATGAGGTAATTTTTAGCGATAACATTATTTGCAGTGATGAAGTACACATATCAAGTGCTGGAATGTGTAATAGACAAAATAACGGCCATTGGGCACATGAAAACTCCCATCTAACGATACCTATACGAGTCCAAGGAAAAAATATTATATTTTTCGTACTTCCGAGACTAAAGTGACAACTTCACTCCATTATGACATGTACTGAAGTGTCACTTTTTGTCCCGCCGGGATTAAATTTGGCCGAAAATCCCGGAAGGATGAAATTACTAACAAGACAATTTCAGTAGGTTGTTCCACATTTTGTATGCGGCACTACTTCTTAAACGCATCGTACTGCTGCTCATATAGTTTTTGGGATTTCGGTGGTATCAATTCTTTACCTAGTTTGGCTGCTTTTTATCAATATCAAATGCACTTTTGTCACCCACCACCAAAATTATGACACTAGCAATGACAGTTTCCAAATTATTTTTGTTACCATAGCATAGGGGTTGTCGTACCAACGCAACGTTCCTATGGTAACTTGTTAAGCAGCGATTTTTTGAAAGAACGCGTTCTCTAACTCCATACATATTAAGTGTTTCAGTTTCGGAAGTACGAAAAATATCGTATATACCTTGCGACTGAAGTAATGGTCTTAATCCCTCAGGTAAATTATGGCCCTCCCTTCAGTCGGGCCATAAACTTTACCTTCGGGATTAAAAGTACTACTTCAGTCCCCCGGTATATAATATACTATTTAGGCACAATCCAAACATTAAAGCACAATCCTAATTTCTTAGATACGCTACTAATGCTGTATGTTTAAATGGCTGTAATTTTTAATTAATGTTTGCACTTACCATTTTTTTGATGAAATTCCGTCGCCACGAGATTGATACGGAAGAAGAATAAGATTAATTAGGAGGATAGAGTAAATTCAAATCTTCAATAATTGTTTTGAATTTTCAGTTCGTTATTCACACTTTTAACAATTACACGGAACAAACTTTAATTGCTATTATTTAAAAACAAACTAGACTTGTAAAAGATTCTAAAGATTGTATGAAATTAAACCGTATAGGTAACTGATTTGCACGACAGACTAAATGCAACTGACTTGTTATCTACGCGGCCCTGGCAGATTAGAAAATTGTGGAAAATAAAATATTCATTTTATTATGCGTGTGAAAACCAAACAACTAAAAACCTATAGTTGTTTACTAAAAATTCAAAGTACTATTTCGATTTGCTTTCGGTTCGCAAACAATAACAAAAATTTAGCAACCAAAGTTCTACGAGCTCGAGTTACATAAATCTCTAATGTGTCTTATACGTTTAGCAAGATGTTTTCTACAACCTTATTAACAAAAACTGAATTCTAGTCAAACGTTTCAGAAAGCTTGCAGTTTTCTTGACAAATATGGCTTTCTTAGAGCTTTGCATTAAAGTATGCATTGTTGTTGGCTATAGTTATTCACGTAGGCTAAAGGCACTTACTGTTCAACTTACACATAATGTTCGTTGTCATCCTGGGTTTATAACCATCATTTACACTGGATTTTATCCGCAAGGAGAGTCGTTCAAAAAACCCTTTCTGACTGATTTCGTGTCAACGTTTCATTAAAGTTACAGAATTGCTCATTCGGCGTATGCATGTCCGAATACCCTTTTAAATCATGAATTAATTACTTTTTAAAATAAATTAAAAACGTGAGCTTTAGTTATAAAATTGCACTAAAGGTAGGTACTATTTTTGGAAGAGGGTCGCGTATAATAAGACAACTTATCAGTAATAACTTTATTTTTACGATGATATGTTACATTGACAATTATTTGCAAAAAATTTCAATACACAACAACTGAATCACAAAGTATTATTGCAAATATTATAAATCTTGCCATTATGTAAATATTAGGTGCCATCGTGCTAGTATTTAAGAGGTGGAATGTTTGTTTCATCAATTCTACGCAATAATGAAAAATAACCCTAATATTTTAACGTGAACGAATTATACAATTCGGTGATAATTGTCGTTGGCACAATTTAAATGATAATACGACATATGTTTTGAATTTATGCTTAACATCACACCTAAAAGATTTAGTGCCTTATTGCGGTTGAACAGTACAACGTTTAACAAATAAAAACAATTTTCGTAATAATGCATTAAGGCACTAATCGAAAACGGAAAATTGATAAAAATAGTGATAATTTTTATGGTAACTAGAAAATATGACACATTTACATTATAGATCGGGCGTCGCCCTGCATTCGTTTTTAATCTTAGAATAAAATTTGAATCGTTCGTTTACATTGTGTTTTAAGCGAAGGTATTTTAAGCTCATTTGTTTTTCTTACATAGTTATTCAAATCAAAGAGACGAAGAGAGTATTCGTGCGTGCTCCTATGCAGCATATTCACAAGCGTTATTAACATGGTTCTTAGCAAAAATATAAGAGTAATGCCACATAGACAAGCAGGAATAGAATCGAGTTATTGTCAATAGTTGACACTAAACAAAAACACTACCAGTAAGACTACAATGAACAATTTTATCTCCTTGCTTAAAATAACTACGCGCTAGCGTAAATTTTATAATATTATGTATGAACAAACCCACATAGGCGATTCAATTGACTAGTAAATATAGTTTGTATTATTATATAACATTATTAATTACTTTTAACATTGGTACCTACACATTGTCTTACGTTATTGTGCTCTTTGTGTACAATTTAACAAATGAATAAAGCGAAACTTAAACAAAACTAGTACTAAAATGTTGAATAAATAATACAAGTTCTAAATGCACTTTTTCATAGTAGATCTACTTTAACAGAAATTGTAAATGAATCCTAAAAACTTTATCACCCTGTGTTCTATGTACATAAAAATCTATCTGTACTTGATCCCTCTATGACTAACCAGTCTTGCTAACACTACGTGGGGGCGTACCCTAAATTTTTTCTTTGCAAGAATAAGTGTATTTCTCTAAACGACGGGCGCTCGACGTCTTTCCGTCGCCAACACTCTACCATTAAATCATAAATGTCTTTAGTTGCTATAATTGGGCGAGGCAAATACATAAACGAATCATCATCACAGTGCATATGAGTTAAATTTTCCATAACTTGCGGATCCATAAATCTCTCAAAAGGCTGCCAGCGACACAACGTTAGTATCTCCCAAAGTGTTACGGCAAAGGCCCATACGTCCGATTTGCTCGTATATTTAGCCTGAAAGACGCATTCCCACGCCATCCAACGTATAGGTAGAGGGGTGTTTCCATCAACTTTATAATAATCGTTTGCATAAACTTCGTTGTAAGTTCCGAAGTCGCCTATTTTTATTTGATATGCTTTACCTATTAGGCAATTTCTCGTTGCTAAGTCGCGATGAACAAAATTGAGTGATTCTAAGTACCTCATACCAGAAGCAATCTGAGCACCCATATAAAGAAGGCAGTTACAACTAAGCGATTTTACACCGTAAGGTACACTATTACTACTTTCGGCGGCCACGTGACTTTTCAAAAATTGACACAGGTCACCGTGTTCTAAATATTCCATCACAACACAAAGCTGCTCGCCTTGACTACACACGCCTAAAACGCGAGCGATCGCCTGGTCTTCAAGAGCTGCCAGAATCCGAACGTCTCTGTAGAAGTCGTTTCTGCGAAATAAAGGGGTTTTATTTAAACGCGAATCTTTGAACAATATTCTGAAAGAAAATTGTTGATGGTTTACGTATGTCTAGAAAAAAAAGTGTTTCCCTCCATCTGTCTGTGCGTACTTTTTGGATACAGTGAGCGAACGAAAAACTGAAAACGTTGTTACAATTGTAACTCATCGTTTTTACAGGGTTTCGCATATTTTACGGCGATCACGAATCCGCAAGGAACATTCTGAAATAAAAAATCTGAACCTTCTTCTTCTCTTATGTGCACCTGACTTTGGAAAGAGGAACCTTAAGCTACTACAAAGAAAACATTTACAGAACTCCAACCTCAAACTTTAACCTTAACATGCCACTGCATGACTTTGATTCAGGATTCTTGATAATTAAATCTGGTTCATCTCAACAGCGCCCCAAGGATTGTTCACAGGTCTTAGATACGCATTTGGAATGGGGAAAGCACTCTGGGAAGTTATCTTGTACTAACCTTTGTCATCCCAAGGTGCTCTGAAAATCGTAGTTTCTAAGACTCCCAGTGAAGCTCCTGGTAATATGTCGACGTGAAGAATCGGAAATCCTAGGAGGTTCCTTTTCAAAGAAACGACTTCAAAAAAGTTTAAAAATATATAATATTTGAAGAACAACAAATTGTAATATATGGACGTATAGAAATTGTGCTGTAGAAAGAATGTTTAAAACTTCCAAACTAACTTGAAACAATTTCAAAAATGTTTTAAAATAAATAAAAATATTCCAAGAAGTTAGAAAATTTTTGAAAGATTCAATAGATTTACATCACCCTAAGATTGAGCAAAATTCAAAGAATATGGGAGGATTCTATGAAGTGCTGTTAAACATTCCTGAGAATTAAAAGAAAGTGGCAGGAAGATTTGGATATACTAGTATCTTGGAAATCTCTCCGAGAACACCCTTAAATTACGAAAAGGTTTAAAAATACATAAAGGGCCAAGGAAATATGGACAAGAAAGCTTTCCAAGGTGCTCTCAAAACTCTATAAAAATTGAAAAATGATTAAATAAGTTCCAGAAAGGGTACGTCTAGTAATGTTCGAAGAAGATTTCAGTAAAATACCTATCACAATCATCATCAAATAATATGTCACAGGTCTCTATTTGCTATTTAAAAATTTAGGGGTTGCCACTCTCCCTCGAAGGGCATTTAACACAAAATCTTTCACATTGTTATGTATCTTTAAAATGTAAAATCAGAGGTAAAATTTTCCGCCACTATTAAAAATAAGTTACTTCCAAATTATATTTTTTCAGAGAAACAGAAGCAGCAATTTAATGCCGATTATGCGCCCTTTTGCATTTACCACATTATTTATACGGGCGCACAACAAATTTTCTTTACTCTTTCGCTCTCCTAGTGTATGATTGGGATGGACACAAATATGGATGATTTTATTAATTATCTATTTCTCCAAAAATGATATGATTCCAGACATAACATTACCATCCATTAAAAACCAATAGTAGTTGCAGATCATTAGGATCTTGTGAAATGGCGTATAAAGGACGAGATTTTAGAAGAGCTTCTACTTCCGTTAAAAAAGTACCTATACAGTTCTGAATAGGTTAATATTTGAGTTCTGATTACTCTCCTAAGATGAGTCTTGACAACTTTTACCCCATCCTCCCTTAGGCCGTTAAAATGTGGTGCCCCGGATGGATTACAATTCCAATTTAAATCAAATTTAGTTGCAGTTTTGCACCAATACCGATAAAATGAGCACCTTAGTCACTAATCGGCGAAAGCAGTAATAACGGAACGTAATGCCAACGAGCTTTTGGCAATGTTTCCTAAATATACGAAATTCGATAACCTCTTTCATTTTTGCCGCATGTTTAACAAGCACCGTGTATAAGGGCGCAAAATTTCATTTAAATAATACGTATTTTGCCTAATTTACGCATAAGAAAGAAATATTTATAATATACAGGGTGTTACACGACCGTTCGAAAAAAAAAAAATCGGGTTGTAGAGGGCATCAAAACAAGCACTTTTTCCAAATAAACCGAGGGTCCAACGTGTTTCGTTTGGGAGCCACCCCCCAAAGAGTGTTGAAATTGCATTTCTTCTTTAATTTTTTTCTCAGCAACCATAAGAGTTACAAAGTCGGGTGGCATGTCTTTGAATAGGTTTTTGGGTATGCTCTTTCCGATTTTGCAAATTTTTTTTCAAAATTCCTACCCCTAAAGGGCGCACCCCTAAACTAGGGTGCAAAAAAAAATTCTGATTTCGACGAAATTTGGTATCTGGGGGTTTTTTAACATGAAAATCACGAATCTGAAATTAGTTTTTGAAAATTCGAAAAAAAAAGATCCACTGCAATTCTTGGCGGGACAACGAAAAAAGAGATAATTCCACGAAATT